GTAGCTCAAGTGGTAGAGCGCTCGCCTTGAGCTGAAGAGCTGAGGGACAGTGCCCAGGCCCAGAGTTCAAGCCCCACGACCGACAAAAAAAAAAAAAATTACAACACTATGTAGGGAAAAACTTCAAGGTCAATTTTCTGAAATATGTTACTTCATATCACCTGGACAATGAGTGCTGTTGGAGGAATCCTTGAAGATGATTTGATAAGATAATGATGATAATGAGCATGATTATGATCCTTATTTTTCAGTAGTACTAGAGTTTGAGCAACTATCATAATTACCACACAAGTACTTTAACACTTAAACCACACCTCTAACCCTTCTTTGTCTTAGTAATTATTTTGTGGATAGGATTTCATATTGCAAATTATTGCTATTGGGCCAGCCTTGAATGGAGATCTCTATTGGTATTTTCCATGTAGCGAGACCATTGCATGGTCTATCATGATTGCTGATAGGTGGAGATGTGATTTCACTAACTTTTTTTTTTACCTTGGCTTTCCTCAAACAGTGATCCTCTTTATCCTCCAAGTAGTTGGGATTACAGGTATACATTATCAGGCCTGCCCCTAATTATTAAATTCATTACTAAGAAATTTACTTACTGAAAAACTAGGTACTTACTTGCCTAGGTACTAAAACCCTGGAGTACAGAGTAACAAAATCTTTAAAGAGACAAATGATCTTTGTAATTGTTTCCAATTTGAATTTGTATTAGAGATAAGTTGTATATATTTTTTTCTTTTTCTTCTGATCATTGACATTTTTAGTTGTTTTTATCTCTGATCTTAGTGTCATTGATGTTACAGGTGATGAAGTGTTAGAATGGAATGGAAGGCTATTGCAAGGAGCTACATTTGAAGAAGTGTACAACATCATTCTAGAATCCAAACCTGAGCCACAAGTAGAGCTTGTTGTTTCCAGGCCAATTGGGTAAGTTGGTTTTAACACTTTGTTAAGTGTATAAATTGACTACTATTAAGCAAACTTTATTGGGCAGTCCAAAAAGGTCTGACTACTTTATGAATGTATATTATTTTTTAGACAACTTTCCTTTTTACTATGCTAAAAACATCTTTCAAGGATCATAAACTTTTCTTTATCTGATTATGATAGAGTATACTGTTAATTACAAAAGAAGAAGAAATATATTTTAACAATTTGTAAATAAATAAATGAAATAAACTATAGTCATTAGTAAGGAGAAAGCACTAGTGTAGAAATTAACATTAAGGTATGCTGCATGAACTATATTGTCTACAATGTATAAATGATGATCAACTTTACTCCAAAAATCACATGTTCTTTTAAAATAGAGGTTTAACCTGTGAAAGAAAGAACCAGAAGGCATGTGATTAAGAGGTTTCAAATGAGACCAAAACCAGAATATTCTTTTTAATTTGTTGACCATTGATTATTTCTAAAAGGTGATAATAAATATATCCTTTTAATTTTGAGAATTAATGAAATAGCCCACTACTATTTTTGTGGTGACATAGAGATTATAGAAAAATGTCTCTTTGTCAATACAAAACATGTACTTACCAAATAAAAGTAGCAGAAAAATCTATAAGATACCAATTTATTATTAAGTTTCTGCTTAGGTAACCACATTTTAGTGTGAACACTACAGAAAATTTTTGTTGTAGAATAATAATGTCCATTTTTAAAATATAATTTTATAGTTATTATTAAGATGTTGTATAAAGGAGTTAAGATTTCATGAATCAGGTAATAGGTAAATTTCCTTTTTGGATAGTGTCACCCTTCCTTTACTTTCCCTGAGTTTCCTGCCTGTCCCTGCATACAAGTTACATAGTTCATAATGTCCAGTTTTAATTCACTAAGGGAATAATTAGATTATATTATTTTGATCTCCTTTTATGCCCAAGATAATGATTTGGATTATTAGTTTAATTTTCTTGAAATTTCCTTTCAATGAATCTAGCATGCAAAACTTTATTCATATTTCATCTTGACTTTTCATATTTCAGTAATATTGTAAAACTGGACTGACCAGATTGGTATTAAAAGCATTCTCAGGTCATATTTTGTTTAACATTTGAACAATTTATAATCTTTCGTATAATTTTCTGACTGATACTTGCTACCTATCTCATCAATTAAGTATTACTATTTAGCTGTGAAACTGTTAGGGCAATGAAAATTCCAGTGCCTTAGGGTTTTACAACTGAATTCTGTAAGACTATTAAATAATACTCCTCAAACTCTTTCATGAAATAGAAAGGGAAAGATTGCTATCAAATTCATTCTATGAAGCCAGTATTACACTTACTCCAAACCAGACAGGGATTCAATAACAACAACAACAAAAACAAAATACAAATAAAGATATATAGACTAATCTCTTTGACGAACATAGATGCAAAACTCTTTAATATAATACCTGCCAACCAAGTTTAACAAGTAATCAAGAAAAATCATATGCTACAATCATGTGAAATTCATCCCAGGAGTGAAAGGCTGGTTCAGTGTATGCAAATCTATAAATGTAACACAACACATTAAAAGAACTGAGGAAAAGAATCATGTGATCATCTCAATAGGTGCAGAAAAAAACCTTTGTTAAGATCCAGCATCCCATATATTGGAGTTCATTTAGATTTAGCATCATTTTATATGGTCATATGTTCTAAGGTTTGGAAACAAGAGGGCTTTTTTGTTGTTTCTTTGTTTTTGTTTCTGTTTCTGTTTTTAAATGTACTGTGTGAAGTTATTTCTTTTTCTTCTGTTCACCCCTCCTGCCCTCTGGTTTGTCCCCTGTTGTCACTGTTTTTTATTTTGGTACCGTGTGTCTTGTATATATGTTTACCTGATTTGGGAGAAGGGAAGTAGAATAACAAAATGATGAGACAAAGGACAAAGGGTGAATCAATGCAGCATCGATATTTACAAGACAACATGTTGGAAATTAACTTTACATATTGGAAGAGGGCAGTGGGGGAACGGGAAGTGGGAGAAAAATGAGGGGGGGTAACAAGAAAGGTACTCATTACCTTACTTATGTAACCGTAACCCCTCTGACATCACTCTTACAATAAACTAAAGTTAAAAAAATCCAACATCCTCTTTGACAAAAGATTTGAACAAGCTAGAAATAATTAGAACATTATTCAACATAAAAAAGGTTGTTTATGAGGAAACTACAGCCAACATCATACTAAAAGTTGAAAACTGAAACCATTTCATCTTAAGTCAGGAACAAGACAAGGATATCCACTTTCTCCACTCTCTTTTTGAGTGAGATTTCCTACTAGAGTAGTAAAGCAAGAGAGTGACATAAAGGGAATCTAAATAGGGAAGGAAGAAGTCAAACTATCCCAATTTGCAGATGACACGATCTGATATCTAAAGGACCATAGAAATTCTATCCCCCAAGCTCATGGAACTGATAAATAACTTTGGGAAAGTAGTAGGATATAAAATCAGTCCAAAAAAAATCAGTAGCTTTTCTGTACTCCTTCGGTGAAAAAATTGAGCAATATTCACAAGACAATATGTTGGAAATGAGCTGTTCAACTTCGTAGTGGGGGACTGGGGAAGGGGGAAAGTAGGAGAAAAGAGAGGGAGGGGGTAATAAGTTTGACAAGAAATGTACTTTTTACCTTACTTTTGTAACCATAACCCCTTAGTACATCACTTTGACAACAAGAAAATAAAAATAAAAATAAAAATAGAAAGGAAAAAAATTAAAAAGAAAATCACAAAAGAAATTGAGAGTGAAATCAGGAAAGTAACTTCATTTGCAAGTCTCAAAAAATAAATATGTAGGAATCAACCAAGAAAGTGAAAGTCTTCTACAATGAAAATTTAAAAAGAAGTTGAAGAAGATATTCAGAAGTGAAAATACCTCCCATGTTTCTGAATTGGCAGAATTAATATCATGAAATGGCAATACTGCCTAAGGCAATCTACACATTCAAATTCAATGAAATACCCGTCAAAATACCAATGCCATTCTTCACTGAGTTAGAGAAAACAATTCAAAACCTTACACGGAACTACAAAATACCCTGAACCACAAAAGCAGTAATTCAAAATAGATCAAGACCTCAGTGTAAGACCTGAAATCAGGAAACTACTACGGGAAGAACTAGGAGAAACATTAGACCTTCTTGGCACATGCTTTCCGAGTGAAATTCCAGGTACTCAGCAAATTAGAGAAAGAATTGACAAATGGAGTTGCATCAAACTAACAAGCTAAAAAGACAGTCTATAGAATGAATGGGAGATCTTTGCCAGCTGTACATTAGTCAGTGGCCTAATGTCCAAAATATACGAAGAGCTCAAGAAATGAAACCCTCAAAGAATCAACAAGCTAGTTAATAAGTAGACAAACTAGACACTTCTCTGAAGAAGTAAAAATGTACAATAGACACATGAAAAAATGTTTAACATCTCTGACCATGAAGGAAATACAAATGAAAACAATTCTGAGATTCCATCTCACTTCAATTAGAATTGCTATTAGCAAGAATACAAACAACAACAGACACCGGTGAATATGTGGGGTAAAAGGAGTCCAAATGCTCTGCTGGTAGGAATATAATCTTGTACAACCACTCTGGAAAGCAATTTGGATGTTCTGCAAAATAACTAAACATAAAACTATGACATAAGAGCACAGAAATAATGGGACAAAGGAGGAACAAATGCACCAGTGATATTCTCTAAACACCATGTTGAAAATTAACTGTACAATCTGTTGGGAAGAGGTGTAGGGAGGGAAAATCTGGGAGAAAACTAGGGAAGAGGTAACACTGTTCAAAAAGAACCATGTTATGTAATTGTAACAGTGTTTCATGTAACTGTATGCCACCTTTACAACAACAATAACATAACAGACAAACAAAAACCATACCCCTTGATCCAGCAATACTACTCTTGGGCATTTATCCAAATGATTACAAATCAGGATACAATAGAACCACTTGCACAGCCATGTTTGCTGCTGCATTATTCACCATAACCTCAGAATGGAAATAGCCTAGATGCCCTTAGATGGACTAATGAATCAAGAAAATGTGGTCTATACACACAATAGAATTTTACTCATCCATTAGTAAGAATGATATTACATCATTTGCAAAGAAATGTATGGATCTGGAAAAAATAATGTTAAGTGTTATAAATCAGTCCCAGAGAGACAAAGGATGCATGTTTTCTTTCATCTGTGAAAGCTAGAGCTAATTTATAAATACACAGGTAAACACATGTGGGGTTGTATGCAGGTATTCACATATGTATTAACCAAAGTATGGTATTTGCAGGAGAGAATTTAAATGGTATAATTCCTTAGAAAAACAAATTCACAGTCCAACAAAATGAATACCAGGAAACTATCGCTTAAAAATATGGGGGTGCCAGGAGCTGGTGGCTCATGCCTGTAATCCTAGCTACTCAGGAGGCTGAGATCAGAGGATTGCAGTTCAAAGTCAGCCTGGGCAAGAAAGTCTGTGAGACTGTGATCTCCAATAAACCACCAGAAAACTGGAAGTGGCACTGTGGCTCAAGTGGTAGAGCACTAGCCTTGAGCTGAAGAGCCGAGGGACAGCTCCCAGGCCCAGAGTTTAAGCCCACAACCAAAAAAAAAGTGTGGGGGCAAGGTCATGGGGGTATAGATGAATGAGTTGAAGAAGGAAAGGGAGAATTCAGTCTTAATGCATATCCTATGAAACTAAGAAAATTGAGGGGAGCATTTGCATTGGGGGCATGATGTGGAATGATGAAAGCAGTGGTATTGATCAATATGCAGTGTACTTATATACTGATTTGTTAAATGGTAACTCCTTTGTATAACTACTTCAAGATATTAAAATTATAACTTAAGAATGTATTATTTTTCCATGGAAATATGGTTACAAGATAACTTTAAAAGCTTTATTGAATGAGGAAATATATGACACTCTATGAAAGGAAATGTACTTATTCCCTGAGATATGTAACTGTAACCCCTCTATCACCACTATAATAACAATAAAGTAAATTATATATATATATATATATATATATATATATATATATATATAACACTACATTTCAAAGTTCTAGTTGCCATGGGAATGTTAAACTGTATTGGTTAGCAGAAGGTATAAATAATGAGTAGCATGGAATTTCAATGTTTAGATACAAAATTTTTTAGATTGTAAGTTGAATAGAGAGACATATAGAAAATAATGTGTATGTTTTCATAAACTTATCCTATAGATACATATACATTTTAATTCCTTTAAAATATTTGTGGTTAGTCTCAATTTTGTTAGCCAGAAAGTACTTACTTTGTTGTTTCTTACTTTTAGGATACCTTTGCCATTCACAGTTATTTCATTTGATACTGTCCAATTATCATATAGATTAATAATGATTAAAATAGTCATTGCATTAGTTATTGAAAGTTTCTTGTTCTTTTTTTCTATCATTTCAGAGATATACCTAGAATACCTGATAGCACACATGTACAAATGGAGTCCAGTAAGTTTGATTTTTTTTCCCTAGAAGAATATGCTATTGATACTGCTGTCCATCAAAGGCCAAATGAACTATTTTATTAATGAAATATAAGTACATTTCTAATATCTATATCATCATACAAAGATGAAATATATAGTATCATTTCATGTCTCTGTGGGAAAAAGAACAAAATTCTACACTAACCACAATTGAATTTAGTATGGAGTTTTAGATAGTTTTATTAAGGTATTACAATAAACTGTATGCAGCTGAATTACATAACTAACCAAATTTGTCAGACACATATACCTGTGAAGCCATCATCACAGTAAAAGTTATCACTTTCAGTTTCACTCCCAAACTTTCCTCCAGTTTTAAAGTTTCATGCTTTGTAGCTACAATACTGGTCTGTAGATGGAAATGCTTGTATCAAACAAATTTATAATTATATTTATTCTCATTTATAATTCTGGAATGTAGAATAGTAGTTCAAACCTAACATCAAAATAGTAATAAAACAATAAAGATATATGTGTAAGTAATTCTAAATACATGAATTTAATTATTTGAGTACTGTTTCATATCTTAAATTAGTTGTTTTCTAATCAGCTAAGTTTGATTGGAAACGATTTAGAATAGAGTAAGGGATATTGTAACTTAAGAGGAGCTGTAAGTTGAAATATGTTGATTGGGATCGTCCAAACTAAAAGAAAGCTTTGGGAAAATGTTTTTGAAAGAGTGTCTGTGTGTAGAAAAGCTTTTTGGATACAGAGATCACATGTTATCGTGCAAGACTGGAAAGTCTAAGGTGCCTTTAAGGAGACATGAAAAGGGCCACTGTGGATGAATTGAGTAAGAGAGAGAACATAAGAAAGGAGGATGCTGGAGTAATGGACACCCAAGTTACATAATGCTTCTGAAGCCCTGCATAGACTGATTTTTCTTGTTTTCAGTTGCCTCTGAGGGAATATTTCACATAAATTTTCTACATGTATAGAGAATTCTTTTAAGCAAACATTTATCTTTTAAAAATTAGCTACTATATTGAAAGTAGGTCAGATGGAGGAAAGGGTAAGGCAGAAAGACAAGGGAGAGGGTTATTTTAATAATTCAGTGGCAACACAGTGGTGATCATGATCACATAAAAGAAAGGTTTTTTTTTTTTTGTTGTTGTTGTTGGTTATGGTGCTTGAACTCTGGGACTGGATGCTGTTCTTCAGCTCTTCAGCTCAAGGCTAGCGCTCTACCTCTTGAGCCACAGCTCCACTTCCGGTTTTCTGAGTGGTTTATTGGAATAAGAGTCTCACAGACTTTCCTGCTCTAGCTATCTTGAATTGTGATCCTCAGATCTCAGCCTTCTGAAAAGCTTGGATTATAGGCATGAACCAGTCCTTATTCTCTTTTTCTCTTGTCCTCACTGTGGTGCTGGGAATGAAATCCATGGTCTCATGCATGTGAAGCAAGTGCTATGTCACCTAAGCTACAACTCTTACTCTGGAGATATCTTTTTTTTTGTTGTTGTTATTTCATGTGATCACCTGACTTCCTTCTTTTTGTAGTCTTTAATGTTATTGTGTTATTGAATTCTACATGTTCTCAACTGTTTTTTTCTCTTTTCTTTACAAAACCATCTTCCTCAAACATACTTCTTATTTTTTACTTACCTAAATCTTTGTTTGTATACTTTATTAATGTTAGAATGCATAGTTCAGAATTCTAGACCCATAATTTCTCCAGTTTCCTATTATCCTCAGTTCTATCCATTTGTTCCTTTCTCTTCACAGAAAGACACTCATTACTGGGTGTTATGATTCTGGCTTTATTTTTTTAATACTCTTCACTTCCTTTTGAGAATCTGATTGATTATATTCTTTAAGACATGTTTTACAAAAGCTATCTTCTAGAAATTTTTAATGACTTTGGACATTCTAATACTTACATATTTAACATTTAAAATATATACCAGTTTTTAGTTTCTTTGTTGGTTTATGTCTTTGTTAACAATAACAACAAGGAAATCTGTAAGGATATTTCTAATATTGTGGTTAAGAAATTGGTGTATACAATGAAATTTATAGGAAATATGGAAGGGACTCTCAAATAGTGAAGAAAACTACTTTTATTATTCTTTATGTATTTCAGGTTCTAGCTCATTTGAATCTCAGAAAATGGACCGTCCTTCTATTTCCGTTACCTCTCCAGTGAGCCCTGGCATGTTGAGAGATGTTCCACAGTTCTTATCTGGACAACTTTCAGTATGTAATCTTTAATCTCTCTTTTCAGAACCTTAAATGGTGTTTTTAAAGTATCATGCTAGATTTTGAAAAATGAAAATTTCATCTGAACATAATTAGGCTTTTAACCATCATTTCATTTTTAATGTTTAATTAGTTGAAATTGCTTTGATTATTGTAATGCTTCTTTATTAGAGTTAGATTTCCTGGAATCGAATGAGAGATAGATTTTTATGAAGTTATCAAAACTACTTTATCTTCATAATTATTTTAAAATGGAAGGTCATGATTTTTTTTCTACACTTAAAAATGACTATAAATTGTCCTAACTGATTAAGATATACTAGTATTGGATTATGTAAAGGTTGTATTTAAAAGAAAAGTAACTATAGATTCTTGTTTCAGCCTTAGTGAAACTTGAAATGAATTTTATAATAATCATATTTTCTATATTTTATTAAAATACAAGGTTGTGATATATAATAGGTTTTAATTCCTAGTTAATTTCCTATTAGGTGATTCCTCATTTGCACATTTTCTAATAAAAATCTGAAAACTAAACTATGCATTTGGAATTATGTACATGTTAGAAGATCTTTGCAAACTTAAGTCCTTAATTAATTAATTCATTAGTTCTATCACTCCCCCCACTAAAATTAATTAATTCATTAATTAATTTTAGTGGGGGGAGTGATAGAACTTGAACTTGGGGCCTGGGAATTATCCCTTGTCTCTTTTGCTCAAAGCTAGCTCTCTACTACTTTGAGCCACAGCACCACTTCCTGTTTTCTGATGGTTAATTGGAGATGGTTCTCACAAACTTTCCTGCCTGGTCTGACTTTGAACCATGATCCTCAAGTCTCGGCCTTCTGAGTAGCTAGAATTACAGGCATTAGTCAACAGCGCCTGGCTGAGTCCTTATTTTTATTCAGTTGATTCATTCATGTTCTCTTTGGAGAGCACTGTAATATTTTAATACATTCAAATTTACTCAGTTGCATTAATTTTCAGTAGCATTGGTGATTATTACACATGAAACATCTGAGTCCTAAAGTCCTACTTAGGTACTCAAAATTCAAATACTGAATTTGATTGAAAAATTTTACAGTTAAAAACTAAACTAGGGCTGATATTTTAAGAATAATTAGATAACTTTTTATTTAATCAGCTGAGGAATACTTTCAGTTTTAGTCAGAAGGGACAGAGTTTTATTTTGCAGAAATATTTTTCTTACAAAATTAGGATACTAAAAATTATTGAAGAAGTTAGTAGACATGTCTTTTCTGGAACAATTTTGACCACAATGCTGACAATAACAGGAGTTATCTACGAAACTAGAGGGATACTGTTAGTAAGTTTTCTTTATTGTTTTCTAAGTACAGTGAACTTTTTTATTCGTAGCCCACAATAAATAGGATTTTTCTACTTATTCTCTTGTGTGTGTGTGTGTGTGTGTGTGTGTGTGTGTGTGTATACATATACATATATATGTGTGTGTGTATATATATATATACATATACATATATTTGTGTGTGTGTGTGTGTGTGTGTGTGTGTATATTTCTCATTTACAAAATTGTGTGATTTCTTCGGAAACTAATAAATATTAGCTTTTTTTGTTTTTTTCCCCTCTCATGGGGCCTGGGCACTGTCCCTTAGGTCTTCAGCTCAAGGCGAGTGCTCTACCACTTGAACCACAGTGCCACTTCTGGTTTTCTGGTGGTTTATTGGAGATAAGAGTCTCATGTACTTTCCTCTTTTCTGTCTGGGCTGGCTTTGAACCATGATCCTCACATATTAGCCTCTGTAGTAATTAGGATTAAGGCGTGAGCTACCAGCACCCGGCTATTTTGTAATTATATTTCTATTTAAATAGTTCATCTTTAAATTACGTTTGGGGAAGCAAGGGAACTGGATGATGCCAGTACACAAATTCTGTGTGTGTGTGTGTGTGTGTGTGTGTGTGTGTTGTGTATTGTGTGTTTTTGTTTAGGTATATAGTTGTTTGCATTGGTAGGGGAGCATTCAGATTTTAAATTTCTTAATTTGTTATCTTATTTCAAATTCTAAGTGGACTAGTAGAGAAAGATGAGGAGTAAAGGGTTATAATTTAGTGAAATTTCAAACTTTTTTTCATGACTCAAAATTAATGTGGCATAAAGATATAATTACTAAATACTTAAAAACATTATAAAGTTGTTTCATTTCTAATATGCTTACTGATGATACAGATGATAGCCTATAGATTTATGAGTGATGGTTTTAAAAAAATCTATGTAGTAATTTAGTATGCATGCCATTTTATTTTTCTTATGACAGATTCTTATGATTTTAGTGAACTAACTGTATATGTTTTGAAATTATGCACACACATCATTCAAACATATAAAACACAATGGTTATAAATCGTAGGAATATTTATTGTTAGAAATCTAGAAAGTACACAAAAAAATCAAAGGTAAAAAGTCAGTAATAATCCTGCTGCTAAACTATGACCATTTACAACCTATAAAATATTAAGCAAAACTAAGTTATATCTGTAATGCTCTTTTGAGTTCTATTTTTTCCTATTGTATATAAAACTAAGATTGACATATGATACAATTTTGAATTCTGCTTTTTTCTATAATATATAATGTTAGTACCATGGATTCTGAATCTTGAGTGAACTTTTTCTTGTCATTTTAATAGCTATTTAACATTTTATTTTAACTTAACTCAGTTATATAATATTTGCTGTCTCTGTTTTTTTTGGCTGTTTTTTGTTTGTTTGTTTTAACCGAATTAAAGTCCAAGTATTTATTTAAAACATATATGCTAAATTCTGAGTCTCGGTCAGAACTAGGACAACTAATACTATTGACTGTACTGGTCACCCAGAATATGTGTGAACAAGATAGAATGTATTTCCTTTTCGTATTACTTATTAATTGTATTCATATTCTTTGCATCCATGACAATACTCAAAACTCTTAACACCCTAAAGGCAATTTTGGTTTGTTGTGATGGTACACAGGTAAAAGAATGTCAATATGTATTACTCTTTTAGAAAAACTTCAGAAGTCGTAAGACAACATTACATTCTCATTTTCTTCTATTGTACCTGAGTGGGGTTTACTTAGGCCTGTACTTCATTTATAAAACTATTGGTAATGCCTGAGAAAAATACAATTGTATAAGATATGAGCTGATCTTCCCCATATATTTATGTCAGTTCATGAACTGATAATTTCTCAAATACAAAATGTATTAATAATGCATATTATATGTGTCTTGATTAATGTCACCCCTTTCATCAGTCTTTGGATAATTATCCAAAGCATTTAAAAAATGCTCTGAGCTTAATTTATTTTCTCTTCAGACTTAAATATATGGATATTCCATTAGTATTTTTGGTGGGAAAATCAGCATAAACTCAAATTATGTACCTGGGCTGTATATTAATCTTTTCCTTGACAAATCTCCCTTATTTGATTTTTTAAAACTTTTGTATTCTAGAATTTAACCATTTTCTTCCTCAGATGATTATTTTTGTAATTGTTAATATTTTAAAGTTAGCTTATAGTCGCATTCCTTTTTGAAAGGGTATCAAGAAAAATACAACTTTTAATCTGTGTGTGTGAGAGAGAGAGACTGAGAGAGAGAGAGACAGAGAGAGAGAGAGAGAGAGGGAGTGCAAGTGAGCGCATGCTCTGGGGCTTAAACTCAGGGCTTAAAACTTTTTTGCTCAATGTTAGTGCTCTAACACTTGAGCTATAGCTTCTCTTCTGGCTTTTTAGTGGCTAATTAGAAGTAAGATTTTTTTCTAAACTTTCCTGACAAGGCTGGCTTTGAACCACGATCTTCAGATCTCAGCTTTCTAAGTTGCTAAGATTACAGAATTTAGTAACCAGCCCCTAGCTAAATATTTTCTTTAAAGTGAGAAAAGGCTCAGAATTCTTTCTTTCCATAGAGTACATTACACATTCTTCTTCTTCTTCTTCTTCTTCTTCTTCTTCTTCTTCTTCTTCTTCTTCTTCTTCTTCTTCTTCTTCTTCTTCTTCTTCTTCTTTTGTTTTGTGGTCAGTCGAAGAGTTTGAACTATGGGCTGGGCGCTGTCCCTAAGCTATTTAGCTCAAGGCAAGCTACCACTGAGCCACCTTCCTAGGCCCTACACAATTCTTTTTTATTGATGGTTGTTTTGTATTGTTTGCTAAGTGGCTGTAAGTGGCTATAGTTAATTCATTATTTTCTAAAAATAATTTTGGACTCCATTTTTTATGAATACTATAACTAGTAATTCTAAATAACTACTTGAGGAGAATAAGTGACTTAAGTAGATATGTCTTTTTCACAACTCTGTAGAAATTACTGAGTCTGACAAATGTTCTATAAACAAAAGGGTTCTTTTTCTAATTTTAATCTTTTTTTATACTATTATATTTTTTATTGTGAAAATACTGTAAAGAGTGTTTACAATTACATGAGCAAGGTCTAATTTTAATCTTTTAAATTATTTTCAAAAATGTTATATTCTCAAAGCATTACATAAAAGGATTAAATATATTTTCTTTAAATCTGAATTGCTTGTTGAGATCCTTTTAGAAGATGATTAAACATTTGCTTTAAAAGATTAATCTGAAAATGTCATTTATTTTTTAAAGTCATTCTATGAAATACTACATAAATAATTTACTTGTATATAATATTTAATATTTGATCTAAAACAATATGTTGAAAATAGGGAAAGTGAAGTCTATTTTGAGGATACATTGTTAGCCATTTTTTTCAGCTTGTCTACTAATCATGAATTTCACAACCCCTGCCCTTTCATTTTCTGCTGATTTTCCACCCATGGTTATATAGCAGCTATCATTTGCGCACTCCATATTTGAACATTTCCTCCTTTAAACATAGCTTTATAGTAAAATGAAAGTAGTTTAGATAAGACTTCTTTGATTTGGAAACAGAGAGAAAAATTATTCATAATTGAATTATTGTCTGGTATTTAAAAAGTCTGTTTTTTTTCAGGTTTTAGAGTTA